ACTAAGCTCCAAGGCCGCTTTCTGTTCATCGCATAATCTTTTTATTTCTAATACAGAATTAGCTTCACTCATTTTTTCGACTTCTTGTTGCTGTTTGTTTTCTAATTGACCCAGACGATCAGCGAATGTAATAATTGTTTGATCATTTAATTGAAATTCTTTCTGAATCAATTCGGCGAGTTGCTTGATAAATTTATTGGACGATAATATCTTATCAATCAATTCTCCAAAGTTAAAATGCTTATTCTCTTCTTCGAGGGATTTACCTGCATCAAAAGATTTCGGAACTGAATTTTTCAAAGTTGACCTGGAGCCTGACATTGAGACTTAAAATATATTACGGTAGCAGTCACTATTGAAAAAGAAAAACTATGTTGAAGCCACGAATGGAATGCGACTAGTTTCGAATGAAAAAGAAAGTGGCATCATACTTTAACAAATGCGCCGATCTCCACCGGTCTTTTGCCGGTCTGAAAATCTTTCTAGATCGACCGATGATTGATCGGTTTTTTGCCAGTTTTGAAATTCTTAGAAATTTTCTCTTCTTCACTAAAAAAAGTGACTTTTCTGCCCTCTTGTCTGTCTAGAAAATCTTTGAAAACCTTCAGGTATTTTGCCGATTTTTTACCAGTCTAAATCGATTTCTGTACCAGCCGGTGGCCGGCAGGCCTCTTATTTTTAGACCGGTTACAACGCTGGTATAAACAGTAGCAACCTTAAAAACTTTTTAAATGATTGTAGAATCTTCAGCGCATCCGCCTCCCACTACATAATCCTCATATCAACATATAACTCTTGGCATACATTACCTTCTTTAGTCTTTATGCTGAATATAGAAAGTTTTTTTCAGTCAGTTCACTTTTGCTGAAAATAGAACAGTGCATTATTTCTGTATATATGATCCGGTCATAATAGACCGATTAGAAGATGAGTAATAGTATAGAATATTCTTCGAGCTAGTTCCATAGGTGGTGTCCTTGCTCCAAAGATTTCAAACAAATAGCTAATCTAAAACTGAAGATATTCAATTTTCATTTATTGAGGAATGAAGCCTTTTACGCTTTCCTGTATGCACAGACACAAATAATGCAACATTTCAAACTACACATGAAGTGAAAAATAAGAGTATCTTTAATGATAATGATAGTCTGCATAGAAGTGCTGGAAACATAACGCCTCCAGACACCACGAATACCGCATAAAACCGAGAGTTGAACACTTCTTCTCTCCACACAAAGACGAGTCGAAGGAGAAGCAAGCACCGACAACATTTTGAAAATCTTCAGAATCAGTCTCCACGTATCCCCTAGCATGGCCAAGCATATGCATTGAGTACGATGCAGATAGTAACAAACGCTTATCACACACACCTCCCTTTTCTCTCTCACCTACATGTACTTCTCGTGGCCGGAAAAGGAGAAATCACTCTCTTTCTCCAGTGAGAACACACGCTTGCATACCTAACACAATTCAAAATTGGATATCTTCAGTTCTAGATAAGCTATTTACTTAAAGTCTTTGGAGTAAGGAGACCACCTAGGGAGCTATCTGTATGAAAATTTTATCTCTTAAGTCATTCGGATGACTGAGAAAAAGGTCTTTCAACAAGTGAAAAGGTTGTCTGTTTGGTAACGGAATGTTGATCATATCTCGGAAACGAAGGACGATCAGCACGAACGGTTTTTGTGTTTTCTTAGTCTTATCAAGGTCTACTTATGGCCAAAAGACGGAGTCAAAATCGGTTGGGGCAGTTCTCTCGTTAGTATTATAAACCAAACCTTTTTCTACTAAATAAGACGTTCTGCATCACTTAGTACAAGGGGCACTAAAACCGTTTTTTCGCCAGGCCTTTAAACAAATATTCCAAGACTGGTGCTAGTGTAGTTTTTCGAAGTAAAATTGAATACAGTTCTTGCCTCGTCATCGCCCCTTCCCTTCGTCAAGTTTCGAAGAATTCTTCTCCGCGATTCTCCGCAGGGCCTCGTGAGGATCCTCGTCCATCGCCCACCTCTGTTCAGTATGGCTGTCCAAACGAACACCCTAAAGTGCCCCCAAGCAATTTTATAAACCTATCGGTTTTTTGTGTTGAGGGCTGAAGCCGTCAATCTAACGCCATTAGGTTCGTTGTAAGCTCGACTCTAAAAATGTGCTTCAATTTTTTTAAATTTTGTTTCGTTCCTGAGAAAATTTATTTTTTCTAAATCGGCGGCGAAAATGTCGGAATTCTGCCCTAATTCTTAATTTTGCCCACGAGAACGCAACTTCTATGTGGCAAATATTCGGAATCAGGATCAAAAACTGAATCGATTAATGTGCCGTATTCTTCTCGAATTTTCACGTGGAAAAGTTATCGAGACTGTCACCACAAATGAAAATCAACTAAAAGTTTCGAAATACGTATCAATCAATTCGTTCTTTTATCCTGATTTCGAAAATGATATTTTTACTACATAGAAGTTGCGTTCTCGTGGACAAAATTGAGAATTAGGGCAGAATTCCGACATTTTCGCCTCCGATTCAGAAAAAATAAATTTTCTCAGGAACGAAACATAATTTAAAAAAATTGAAGCACGTTTTTAGAGTCGAGCTTACAACGAACCTAATGGCGTTAGATTGGTGGCTTCAGCCCTCAACACAGAAATTCGAACTTGGACAAGTATCTAAAGCCTTGTAGAGATAATAAAATGTCTTTTCATACTCACCTCTTTGATGAGCAACTATGGCAAGACCGGTGTAACTGACAGAATTATTGTTATCATTTAGAAATAAATTATAGTACTTTTCTGCCATTTCATGAGGATTACTCAGTTTGCGTTCATTAGATGGATTGTCGTTACAGAATAGTAACGAAAGTCCAGCACTTAAAAGTTTAATATCGGCTGGTTTGTCTACGCTCAGTGATTTATAAATACTTGGCATTTCGAAACTCGAATATTCATAGGGATGTTCGTCATCATCGTATAGTTCGTTTGGATTGTCCGAGACTAATGTTAAGCTAACTTGCCAATGTTGTGCATCCTCTTCGTAGAATATAAAACGCAGCCGATAAGTAGGCACTCGGAGATTGTCTGTAGTACCAGAACCGCCGTAGACTTGGGACCTGCACCAGACTGTGGAGCGACATCAACGTATATCCACGTGTGTTTAGAAAAGTATTTTGCTATGTAGATTTTTGGAACGTCGGGTGCGGGCATTTTCTTTTGAAAGATACACAATGGTAGATCTGATCGGGAGCGCTAGTTTTTCCATAGATTTACTTCCCGAAGTGTCCTCTATCGAATACTGGAAACCTCAAGTTTCTAACGTCTTCCGTTCAGAAGTTATTCGAAAACTAACCGCGACCACTGTTTTATTTTACAGATAATAGTAACAAGTAACGGTTTTCTATCACCCGTAACGATCAAGGGAAAGTGTCACCCTACTAAGTTAGTATTATTATTGCTAAGGATTGTGGTTTGATATTTGTATTTTCGTTACATACTTTTGGCGAGTGTGCATTTTCTTTTTCATGTTATCATCACATTTCGTTTGTATATTATCTTACTAAATTATGAAAAGAGCACACAATTGATTCATCAGATCGGAAGCAAGTCTCAGTCTCTCTAATAGTAGAATATAAATATATACCCTACATGACGGGTGAGAGTCAGCTGGCTTAAAAGAGTTACCACGTCCATTTAAGTAAAATTTAAAATCCTAGTCATCATTTTAAAAAACTCGTAGTCCAGACAAAATTAATCGTAGAAAAGTTTATTCATGCATTGTTTGATAGCTAATGGTCTGTTGTTATGATCTGATGTAAAAGGTTTTAAAAAATGTTTGTTTGAGACAATAATTTATGAGTAATCAATGAATACTAATTAATATCGCTCCTGTGCATTACACTGTTGTTTGCAAATTAACGGTTTATGCGAAACAATAAAATAATACGTCATTCGACAGAGATTTCCAAGCACTACAAACTCCTATATTAGCCTTTTCAAAAATGTTATCGATAAGCAGTTATTTGTACTCGGTTTTGGGCAAACGGGGTTTTTACCATGGATTTCTTAACGGAGCGGCCATGGATGTTGTTTGAATAACTCAAGAGCGAAAAGAGACAGAGAATTCGCGTTTTCAGCATTTTGTAGAGAAGGCTTTACTCCATCTCATATATATTTTGTACTAAAAAACTCGGTTTTTCAGGTGGTATATCTGACAGATGGAAAGCAATGAGATTGCCAGATTCTGAACCTGCGGTGGATTTTTAATTTCAACATAATGGCTAGATAGCCCAAAGTGTTCTCTAAAATTCTGCGCAAGGCCGACCTCTCTATCTGTTGTGGTTCTCGAATGGCAGGCATTTTCCTGAGTCATCCGTAATTGGTTACCCCATTTCGTCAGGTAAATGTCTGGCATTTGAGAGCCACAACAGATAGAGAGATCGACCTTGCGCAGAATTCTAAAGAATAGTTTGGTCTATCTGGCCACCATGTTATGATCGTTCCAATATAAGTTTAATCGTCCTCTTGAAACTGACATAGATTGACGGTTATACGGAGCCACTCCTTAACTGCAGTGTGAAAACTCTTGCCAAAGATCCTGCGAAAACAGTGCACAGTAGAAAAACTTTTTTGCTACAAAAACTTTTGAAGAGTTAATGGAAAAATTTTGAAAAAAATTAAATTTAAATTTTTTTGAGTTTTAAATTTTAAAAGAATTTAAATTCAAAACATATCGAAAAAAATTTTGATAATCAGACAACGTTACTCCGCGGTAGTCATTGCGCACAATTTTTGCAGCAAAAATGTTTTTCCACCATGCACCGTTTTTGCATCATGTTTGGCAAGGTTTCTTCCAAAATACTTTTTCATTCCCCAGCAAAACCCATAGAAAAACAAATTTTGTAACTCAATTTTGACCACTTTTTTAACGTTTATGACCCCATAAAGGAAACTTATTCAGGCATGGTCCCTAAACTGGTCAAATACAAGCTTTGTAAAGGTGAAGACGTAGAAAATATGAGGAATGACGAAAAACTCGAGAAATGGAATCTAATATCCTCAGAAAAGTGACGTGTTTTACTATGCATTTGTCACATATGAGACATATAGTTTTATACACCTACGTTTACGATAACCGAAGAAACTTATGCACTTGTCATTCTTCCGTTTCATTTCGTTTGTAAAGAAAAAGATCGTTGTTTCTCGAAGAAATGTCTATTTTCTTCTACATATGGTTTCATTCTAAGTAATCACGTCTTTACTTGGTAAACACATTTTACCTTTTTGTTTGATTTCAAGTTGTTTGAATTATTTGAGAACAAACTTGAATGAAAAGAATCATTCATTTTAAGTAACATTTTCATAATCGACCCTTCGTCGTTTTCATAATCACTACTTATTACTTGGTAACAAAGAAATGAAACCAATTTAATTAAAGATTAAATTCGTCAAATTAGACGAATTTTCCAATTCAATAGTTATCTACGTTCGTTCCTGAATACTCTTATAAGAGTGTTTGTTGGTAAAACGTTATTCTCTGTAATTCTGGTAATTTTTGTATAACATGTTATGAAGGTGTTTTTTCCTGATATTTCGAAACTTTCGGTTATAAAAGATATCTAACAATGGAAAGTCGTCAAGTGACAAGCCCTACTAGTAACTACAAGGCCTACTAGTAACTAGAATGTCCTCAAAATTTCAGCTCAAAAGAATGTTCCCTTCATAAGATATTGAATTTCCAAAATTACTCATATTCTACGAAAAGACTGAAGAATGTCATGTTTTTTGGAAACTCAATATCTCATGAAGGGAACATTCTTTTGAGCTGAAATTTTGAGGACATTCTAGTTACTAGTAGGCCTACTTGTGGACAAAATATCAGGTCGAAATATCTACGGTCTACCTAATACACATGCTACGAACTTGAAAGCAGTTTGTCACTTGGCGATCTTTCATTGTAAGAGAAGGTCGTAAATCAGATGCTAAAACGTATCGACCAACTTCGTTACTATCCAATGTCTGTAAAATCTTCTGAAAATAACTCATAAATGTTTGATCGACTGTTTAACCATAACTTATTTCTCTTGCGCTCAACAATTTCGTTTTCATCCACACTCATTTATATAGATGCACTAATTTATTTCAGAAACTTTATAAATCAACATTTAAAAGATAAAAAGAAATTAATCGGAATCTCATTTGATTTCGAAAAATCGTTTTATAAGGTGTTTCATCAAATAAGACGCTCCAAATTCAATTTTTGACGATGTTTGACAATTAATGATAAATCGAAGAAGGAGCAATTAAACAAAAAAGAGAAGGAAAGACTTAAAGAAGTTGCATAATTAAATACTTGGTTAAATAATAAAACGGTTTTTTGGTGATATTTTGTTTTTGTTTTAGAAAAATATATACTTTTCAAAAAAATATGACAATGAATTTTAAATACAGAAAAATGAAGAGTATATAAAAAAGGCTATCATCAAAACTTTGATCTGAAACTCACGCTGTTCAGCCTTCAACATGGCCAATTCTGGAGAAAAAATCATCGAAAATATTCTGTCTGATAGAATTGTTGATCGGATGAGAAATATCGAACCATTAACACTTGTTTATTTAAATGATAGTACTAATATCAACGACGTGTTTAAGTCTAATTTATATAACATTATTGATTATATGAAAACGTTTGACTCGGATGAAACATGTGAGGATTTTATTAGTACTGTAGAGACTGAAGATGTTTTTTTAGTTATTTCATCAAATACGCGACCAGCAATCATTTCGAAAGTGCATGACAAACAGCGATTACATTCAATTTATATTTATAAACTCTCGGCAAAAAGTGATGAAAGCGAAGAAGAATGGCTCAGTGAATATACAAAGGTGAGGTAACTGACTGTTTCTTCTCACGCAGAATTCTTCATCAGATTCTGTACAATCTTTAGGTTAAGGGAGTGTTTAGTGAATCGAATAGTTTAATTGAAGAGTTATCTATCAATGTGAAGTTATCTATCAAATCGTTGAATGAACTAAATGGATATACCTCGAATGAGGTTTCAGACAGTAGTTGGTTTATACTGTTAATGAATGCTTTAATTGGTTTAAACAGGAATAACAATGACAGATTATTACGTTCAACTAAACAATCCATGATCAATCAGTTTCGAATATACTACCAAAACAATAAAACTGAACAAATAAATCTTGATAATTTTCAACAAAATTATCAGTCAAATGATGCTGTTGGTTGGTATACACGGGATACCTTTCTTTTTCGTACGCTGAATAAAGCCTTACGTCAACATGATATTGATATAATATTTTTATTTCTATTTTTTATTGTTGATCTATGGCAACAGCTTAAACTTGAGAATGAGAAACAGACATCGAATCAAAGTGACCATAGCTCATGTAATGAACATAATAACATCAAATGGATGGATAATAGTGATTCTCTTTCGTCAGATACAATTTCGAATGTAAATCGTATTTTTTGTTATCGTGGTCAACTTATGTCGAAAGAAGAGATTGAAAAGTTTCAAATGATAAGCTTTTTTACTTGTAATAGTTTTATGTCAACGACTCTTAACTATAAACTTGCACTAATGTTTGCTGGTCAACATTCACGTGATGACAATATACAGTCGGTGATATTCAGTATTGAAACACCGTCGATACTTTTAAGTCAAACACCTTATGCGAATATTTCACATCTAAGTCATTTTGGAGAGAGTGAAAAAGAAATCTTATTTATGGTTGGTACACCATTTAGAAAACGTTTTGTAGTCTACGAAGAGGATGCACAACATTGGCAAGTTAGCTTAACATTAGTCTCGGACAATCCAAACGAACTATACGATGATGACGAACATCCCTATGAATATTCGAGTTTCGAAATGCCAAGTATTTATAAATCACTGAGCGTAGACAAACCAGCCGATATTAAACTTTTAAGTGCTGGACTTTCGTTACTATTCTGTAACGACAATCCATCTAATGAACGCAAACTGAGTAATCCTCATGAAATGGCAGAAAAGTACTATAATTTATTTCTAAATGATAACAATAATTCTGTCAGTTACACCGGTCTTGCCATAGTCGCTCATCAAAGAGGTGAGTATGAAAAGACATTTTATTATCTCTACAAGGCTTTAGATACTTGTCCAAGTTCGAATTTGACCTATGTGATCTACTGTTGTATGGGTAATGTATATAGAGAAAAATCTATTTATGACAAGGCTTTAGATTATTATACAATGGCATTAACGAAGAAACAAGATACAAAATTAGATCTCTTAGTTGAGCAAGATCTGTATCAATTCAACAATCTGTTTAAAGTATTGTGGAACCTTTCATTAATTCATAAAATAAATGGAAATTACGAATTAGCATGGGATACATATAAGCAGTATTTAACCAGTGAAGCTTATGTAGCTCACGACTGCTACTTAGATATGTTGATCCGGGAAACGTACGCACTACTCGTTAGTACTTGTCCTAAACAAGCAGAATGGGATGAACAAATGATGAGTAAAATAAAATTCATTGACGCGAGTTCGTTAGATGCCGATAAATATTCTGATGTAATCGCTGACGCATACAAAGACATTATTTCTGAATATTTGGATAAAAATAAAGCAGATTTAGGGAAGGAACTTTTAACAAAAGCGCTCGATTCTTTAACGGGTAAGTCATTGGAACAACTATACGCACCACTTCAATATGAAAACATTGGCGACAATTATCAAGAGCAAAATCAATTTGATTTAGCTGCTGAATGCTATGAAAAATCACTTTCATTGGAGCTTGAAAGTGCGCATAGAAATGATTCACATCAGATTAGGTTTGATATGCGCGTGTTTGTGAAAACTCTAAAGTGTCGAACAAATTCGTCAAATTTTCAATTAGCTATTGATTTTTCGAAGAAGATCAGCGCTGATTACATAAATGCTGGTATGACTTTACATGAAGTTATTAACTTGTATACAGCATTAGTTGACTTTGATCAAGAAAATAACGTTACTGTAAATGAAAATGATCGTATAGAGTGGTATAATAAGCTTGGTGAATATAACAGTAAAATAGGAGATGTATATAAATCAAATGTATGGTATAAAAAAATTTTGCATCATGATGATGCGAATATCTGGGCAAATATTGCTTACAATTATAATCAAATAAACGACTATAAATTGGCGATTTATCATTACAAAAAAGCGCTTGAATGCTCATTAAAGATTCGCGACAGAGATCTTATTGCATGCATTTGCTTCGGCTTAGCATCTTCGTTTAGTCGTTTACCTAATAAGAAGAATGTAGCTATAGATCATTACAAACGAGCACTTTTGTTTTGCACGGCAACGGAAGAATTAAGTACATTCGTGGACCCAAATTCAGTTCACAATACAGTGATTGCTATTAATAGACAAACCGGCGATAATTTCAAATCAGCTGCACAGTTTTATACTAAAACAATTCATTTATGTCTGAAAAATAAACTGAATACGCACAAAGAAATTGCTTCAGCTCACAAAGCTTTTTATTTAGCTTATGGTGACAAACAAACCGTTGAATTTTATAAAGCAGTTATTGATATATACGAGCAACAAATCAGAATGGTTGAGGATGATCTACATGATCTTCTGACCATTTATAAATATCTGGCATGCATTTATGAGAAAAACGGTAATTTTCAATTAGCCATTGATCTGTTTCGTAAATGGCAGGCCCACAGTAAATTTATCAGGCATAACGATATTGAATATGGCCTCTTGTGTTTCAAAATTGCAACTTTGTATGATAAGCTTGATGAGGATAGTACTGCTATAGAACATTATCAAGAAGGACTGACATTGTTGAGAAATGGTTCGAACATACCAGATGCTTCTTGCTTACCAGTTGTCTGTAATATAATGGACCAATTTTGAGATGAACACTACTACTTTCTTACCATTCGATAAACAAACAGGAAAAGTCTGTCTCCTCTGAAAATGAAACTTAAGACAGTATTTCGTCAATATCTCTGTCAATTTTCATTATCAAGACTAGAGCTTTTCTTAAAAGATTCCCCGTTCAATTCTCTACAAAAACTGTATGGAACATTTTTTATGCATCGTATAAATAAAAGAATATGGATGAAGCACTGCGAAGTTCTAGTCTCCATTGCTTTCTAACTTAAAGCTCAACGTAAAAACATTTATTCTGAAGACAGTGCTATGCATTAAAGGGGAAAATCAAAATGTATGCTACGATACTACGGCATACCTGTTGATTTTGCTTTTTATACTAAAACACTCATATTTATTCCGATTAAAGCTCAAATTACAAAACCTTAGTGTCAAGACGATAAGTGTGACTATTTTACATATAATCTTGAGAGATTCTATGCTGAGACTACCACTCCTATGGATATATAATGTGCGGAGAATGGTAATACTACAGGATTGTAGTGCGCGTGGAGTCTCGAAACGGCAGCTAGCAGGCAATATAGATGCTACGTAAGTTACATTCATCGTGATCAGGCATCGAACTTCGCCATCAAATATGTGGCCAAATGTTCACAAGATGCTCTACATAGAAGATCCGACTGTCTGTATTGCCTGGTGGCTTACCGTTCGAGATGCCACGCGCATGACATACCTGTACTACTGACATTCTCCGCGCATGACACATCCATAGTGTTGACAGTCTCGGCATAGAACCTCTCAAAATCATACATCAATTTTTTACGCATATCGTCTTGACGCTCATTTCTTGTAATTGACATTTAATCAGAATAAATATATGTCTTTTAATAAGATACACAAAAAGCAGACACATCATGATATTTATTTTCTCAATATTTTTACATACCTGGATTCGCCTTTCGACGCTGATCACGAATACGTATTCCTCCGTTTTTTTTTGAAAGTTTCTTAAGCCGCAAAAATCAGAACACTCGGAAGCACTAAAAAATCAAAACAACGGTAGTTTTCGAAAAACCTCTGCCACTTTTTCGCGTTTGGTTTCACGAGTCGAACCAAAGTTTTTCGGATTCAGCATCAAAAACAGCATCGGAAATGGTATTTGAATCTTTTAGACCCGAACGCTTCTCTGCGCAAAAATATAAAAGCATAAACGTCTAAAACTCTCAAAGTCTAAATGTCTAAATGTATAACACTCTAAAACTCTAAAAGTCAAAATGTTTAATAGTCTAAAAGTCTTCAAGTCTGAACGTCTCAAAGTTTAACAGTCAAAAACTCTAAGAGTGCAAATGTCTAAAAGTCTGAATGTCTAAAGAGTTTAACAGTGTTTCATTTATGCCCGGTTTTGGCTATCCGACACCCTTCCCTCAAGACCGGATGGTCCATAAAAGAAGAAAAATAGTTCAAAAATATGTGAATGGTTTAACCTTCCAGATCGCCTGTTTGTGTTTAATTGAATTGGATTCATGTGTGACAAATGGAATGATTATTTAAAATTTTGTAGAAATGAGGTAAACGAAAGTATTTTCATCTTTTATATAAATCAGGTAACTTAAGCTTTTGCTACAGCAAAGACACAAAACCATCAAACCTTTTAAGGATAATTTTGGTGGCTAATTTAATTACAGAATCAATAAGTGAATTATGATGGGGAAATTTAGTATTGTAAACAATTGAGCAGTAGTCTAGTTTACTCAAAATGCAAGTCTTGAATATTGATAGACGAATAAGAGAAGGTGCAATCTTAAAACACCGATATAAGGCTCCTAATCTCATTATACACATGCAAGAACAAGATCGTCAATATAATCACTCCAACGTAAATTAGAAGACAAGCGAAGTCCAAGAAGTATAACTGATGATTCTTTTTAATTAATGAGTCGTCTATCGTGAGAGAATACGCTTTGTTTTGAGGTCTGTGCGAAAAGGTAACCATGAACATTTACTGTAATTTAACGACATAAGGTGTGATTGACACCATACATTTGTACGATCAATATTTTCCTGACAGACTGAAACTGAATAAAGATCAGAAACGGGACTTAGCAAAGAACAGTCATCTGTAAATAAGGCGCATGATGCAGATGGTACAATAATAGCAGGCAGGTCGTTTATGAAAATTAAGAAAAGAAGTGATCCATGGATGGAACCTTGTGGCACTCAGGATGGAACAGCAATCGTATTTGAATAAGAGTTTCCAATTCGTACCTGCTGACAACGGCTAGAAAGATAACTAAAGAACCACTTAAATGCAGAACCCGTTGCTCCGAGAGCGGAAAGCTTAGTTAGTAGAATCTGATGTTGTACACGATCGAAGGCTTTTTCAAAATCAAATTGAACAAGAACAGTGTCAATTCCCTGATCTAGATTGGTGTAGATAGAATGTGGGATCTACAGAAGAGCGTCAACAGTGGACGATTTGGAACGATTATCAGGTCCCGAAGCTATGTCACTTCTTAAACTACTAGACGTATATACATATATATATATATATATAAAAGAAAAAAGTGCTGTAAGTGAAAAATCTTACATGGACTGTTTTTTCTAAGCTATTTGTTTAAAACGCAATCGTTGTATCATCTACTATCTGTTTCAGTCGGATGTGTTTTGGATAGCTTTTGAACGGTAATAGCCAGCCACCTGCGATTTCCAGTTCCTTAAAGCAGATACCGGGAGACATTGATCTATGAAAAAGCCCGGTCTCCGAAGAAGGACTACCATGGTGTATCGTTCGAAGGGGAAAGTTTGAGCTTCTCATTTGAAAAGATGCATATAGTGAGGTAGACTTAAAAGTCAGCTGTAATATAAACAGACAGCTTTTCTACATATTACCAAAAGTTCCAGACCTCCATCCACTGCTCTCTAAAAAGAATTTATGAAGAACATTATAAAGAACCGGAATACGATATTTGTAATAAAAGGCATTTAGAGTCAATAGAAATTTATATTCAAATAACGTATACGCCTAATACGCCTTTAGAAAACTTAACAACCAACGAAGTAATGAAAACGTGGAGAAGTTTTAAATCAATAAAATCAACTGATAGCTCTAATACTTCAGCATTTCTATTAAAAAAATTACCAGAGGAGTACTTTAAAATAGTTTCAGTTTTATTTAATAAGTGTGCAAAGAAAGATTTATTTTTCGATAAAAGTAAACATGCAAAGGTGATATATTTGTCGAAAGACGGACTCTACCCAGAGAAAAATTGATTACGTCCGGTTTCACTGTTACCGAATTTGGGTATACGGACCACCTGTCGCGGACGTCTGGTCTTGAGGGAAGGGTGTCGGATAGCCAAAACCGGGCATAAATGAAACACTGTTAAACTCTTTAGTTTGTTATGCATTTAGACATTTAGACTTTGAGAGTTTTAGACGTTTATGCTTTTATATTTTTGCACAGAGAGGCGTTCAGGTCTAAAAGAATCAAATACCAGTTTTCGATGTTGTTTTTGATGCTGAATCCGAAATAGACCGTCATTATTTTACCCTGCTGACAGTTATATACCAGTTTGTTTCTTCTTTCTAACTTTTAAGGTAATATCCTTCAAAAAATACAAAAATTAAAAATGCGTCTCTTCTACGTTGTTACCCTAACTTAGTTCGATATCTTACAACCAAGCTGACCACTCTTACTGCTTTCTGAGAGAAGACATGTGTTGGACGATAGAAGATATTCAGGCAACATTTATGGAATGAAAGCAGGTAGAGCCTTCGAACTTTTATCATAACGATTCCTCGCTATGGTCAACATGCCCTGAAAGTTTGGTTCAGCTTGGACTTTTGATTACATAGATAGATCTCTGACGTAAAACGAGTGTTTATTACCTGAGATAATTTAAAGTTTTTTATACGCCTCATATAGCGTTTTGCGTCAGACTACCAAAGGTAAAACAAATACGAACATGAAAATAAGATAAACTATTAGATAACACTTCATCTTGAAACTCTGACGCAAAACGCCATATGAGGAGTATAAAAGGCTTTAATTTATCTCAGGTATAAACACTCGTTTTGAATCAATTATACTTTTGTGTTTTCGCATATCAAATAATCAGAGAGAATGGCCGCTCATGATGTACATGGTAGGATATGTGCTACTCTAGTCTTATTATCAGATTCTATAGAAATATATGTTGACTCTTTTAGAATTAAAACTTCTCTTTTCCTTGTTTGACACGAATCACGATGGTATAATATCACAAAGCGAGATCCAAAAAGTGATTGAAGCAGCAACAGGAACATCATTTCAACCTGAACAATTGGCTGCTCTCATGAAACTTGTCGATACAGACAGTAAGAACAGAAAGTAGTAGTGTTCATCTCAAAATTGGTCCATTATATTACAGACAACTGGTAAGCAAGAAGCATCTGGTATGTTCGAACCATTTCTCAACAATGTCAGTCCTTCTTGATAATGTTCTTCATAAATTCT